TTCCATTATTTATAATTTTTTTTACATATGGATGCATTAATATATTATGTTTTCTACTAGTATGTTGCTAATATAAGTCAGGGTAATTTTGTGTGTTTAAATGGGTTCTAATGGAGCTGTGATCAGATAGGTGTAACGATAAGACGTCTGGATAAGCATGTAGTTAAATGTAATTGATATAATTATTTATGAGTCCAGGTTTGATCAGGAAAATTTAGTTCCTTAAGGATATTTAAAATTATAAAACATTTGGACAGTTTTACACACGGTTTATCCAGAAAATGTATAAATATTTTTGGAACACAAGAAAAAAATAAATATAAAAATATTAACCTTATATATTGTCTTTCGTTTTAATGAATCACACACACACACACACACACATATATATATATATATATATATATATATATATATATATATATATATAAATTTATAAATAAATAAAAATAAATGTTCAATTAAATTTTAAAATGAAATAATATTATTATTAATTGTTGAATTTTCAAATACTTTTTTATTATTAGGGCTTCCATTATTTGTAATCAATTTTTAATGTGGGAAGTTATTATTTTGTATATTTTGTACTAGTATGCTTTTCATATGGATTTTGTGTTTTATAATAAATTTATTTTAGTATGGCTTTTATTTATTTACCATTATCTGCGGTTTGATTATTGTTGTTCCATTCCTGGTCATTGCTGAAAGAATTGGACGAATAAATTCCATTTAAAAAATGTTTTCTGCAAAAAATGAAATTTATATATATATATATATATATATATATATATATATATATATATATATGAATATATATATAAATTTTATTCTGTGCAACTAAGATAAAGAATAAAATATTTAATTTTTTTATCTGTTTTATTTTTGAAAATAATCTATGAAAAAAACATTTTTAAAATCTGTCTTTTATATGATATTTTACAGGACAAAAAAATCATTTATTAAATATTTGTATATATAAAAAAAATATAAACGAATTTAAAATGTCAAAAATTGTTCCAAAAATATTTTTTTTCTAGATAATATATATTTATATATATATATTTAATATATATATTTATATATATTATTTTTTATTTATTTCAAAATTATAACATAAATATATTATAAAATCACTACATAAATAGCAATTTTGTTTCAACACCTTTGTTGATATATGTTCTGGCAATAAAGATGAGGACAACAGTCCGAAAAATATAAATAGTGTAAATAGTTGCAAAAAATCATCTTCGGAATAGAGACAGTTGTTGAAGGTGTATATGCCAATAAAGATGAGAACAAAAATTGGAACAATGGAAATAATGTAAATAGTTACAATATCTCATCTCACTAATATATATATATATATATATATATATATTTTATATATAAATTAGCATGTGCGTGTGTGTATGTGATGAATACGAAAGATGGCCGGTTAATGAAATTTGAAGACAACAAAATGATAACAACATTGGCAATAAGATTGAAAATATTTGATGATGTACGAATAATCAAAAGCGTATCATATAAAATAAGTATCATCAATCTTATTGACAATATTGTTATCAACTTGTTCTCTTTATATTCATCAAATTTCATTTACTGGTCTATTAAATCTATACACACACAAAAAGCACGCACACACATATATACATGCAAAATACATGGGTTATTTAAGAAAACAAAAAAAAAACGAAGAGTTACGAATATAATTATTTATAAAAACATTTATAAATAATGATATAAAATAGATATATATATGATATATATATTTATATATATATATATATATATATATATATATATATATAATATAATAGAAAAATATGTGGATAAATTTCCTGTTTCGTCGCTTTTTTGCGTGTTTATATATCTAAATATATCTGTGTGTTTGTGTATCGTAATCTGATTGTGTATGTATTGTCTTTTGCAAGATTTTATCTTCCCTTGCCCATATCTTAACTTCAAAATATCCCTAAGTTGTAACGTAGTTCAGAGCAGCATTAAATCTTAACTTAATTTCAATAAAAACAAAATAAGTAACAAAACATATATATTTTCCTCAGTTTCTTCTTTAAATAATTTTATAATTTTATACTTAATATAGATTAAATTTAAAATTTAAAATTGGTAATTTTTAATTTTGTAGTATAATTTAATATTTATTAGTTAGAATGAATTCTATTTTAGTCTAACCCTAACATGAAAGCATTAAATAATTATTATAACCAAAGTTCGTTGTCAAGTTTTTCTAATTCTCATACTACTTGTATTCTGATTGGTCATTCCAGCTTATGTAGTAGCGTTTCACCTAGCGATGGGTGTTTGATTGATTTGAACCTTTTAAAACCTTTTATACTACATTCAACACCATCACTTGATAAGTCACCAGGAGTGTTGAAATAAAATGGCAATATTTTTGTAGTGATTTTATAACAAATTTTCGAATCAATAATTTATATATATATATATATATATATATATATATATATATATATATATAAAGAAAAACAGACCACTTTAAGGTTCCATTATAATAATTTATTTCACCAGAGCGCTTTTAAGGGATGCTGGATCATCAGGTAACACTTCCAAAAATGATAGATGAAATGAATGATGAAATGACAATACTTTTGACGGGTAGTATCAACTTTATGTAATTTAACAGAGCGGATAAGGATGAAATGGTGGGAGAGACATGGGTGAGTTTCGAGTGGGTTTATTTTAATATTTCTTTCAATCATACTTAGTATTGGGTGAGGAGGGACCAAACCATGACCTATTTAAACGGTTAACTTAACGGAAGTGATATATTGAAATGGGAGGGGAGAAGATAGAAAAAGAAAAAAGAAAGAAGGAGGAAGTAAGAGAAAGAAGCTGTAATTAGGTTTTACATAGGATTTTAAGGGATGGTATATTTTTAGCAATTTATGTAAAAAAATGGATTTTAATGTTTGATAGTTTTTAAATGTTCAAAAAAAAAAAACCCACAAAGAAATTCAAATTTTAACTCTTTTTAGAAATTTTAATTTTAATATAACTTAAATTATAATTTATTAATATTCATAGAGAAACATTAAAAGGATTTTTAAAATATAATAGTTTACTGATTAAAACATAATATTAAAATTTAAAAAAGGTTACATCTTTATTGTTTGAATAGAATTCATGAATGTAATTTGTTACTATTTTTATATATATATATATATATATATATATATATATATATATATGTCATTTATACTGTTTCGCTGTATCATATATATTATACTAGACGTCCAAAACCTGGAGCCAATTTGATGTTTTCATATTTCTAGAACAAACATAGATACATTTTAAGACTGACATATATGGATAAAGAAAAAAAATATATGCAAAAGTTTGACAGAAATGAAACAAGGTTTGTTTATATCATACAAACGTTTGTTGGAAGTTTAATGGCTCGACTCGAATTTTTTTTTTTAATAAACTGTTAATTTTTAGGTACTTTATTTACAATGGAAAAGTTGGGGGTTGGGAGGAAGAGAATAGGAGGAGTAGGGCGAAAAAGGTTTCTCAAAGGGAAATGTTCAAACGATGGTTACAAAAGTAATTGTAAAATGTTTTTTTAACTTAAAAACAAAGACAGAGTTGAATTGCGTATATTTAGGCGGGGAATTAAAACTAATTTTGTAAAATGAATGTATTTTATAGATTAATAAATTAAGAATTTGGATATTTTTTTAAAATTGAATACGTGTTATTTGTTTTATTTTAGAATTTAAGATATATAGAAAGTTATAGAAATGTTTTGATATTAATATAACTAAATCACTTGTAATTTTTTGACCTATTATTGAATATAACTTGCCAAAAATAAGTATGGATATAAAAAATTATACGATACTACTATGTATTATATATGTGCAAAATACATTTTAAAAAATCATAATCTAAGATTGGATTAGTAAATATATAATTTTAAAAAATCTATCAAAAAGAAGTGATGTCATAATTTTAAATGTTTATATGGAAAATTTAGATTGTTTTTTTTTATATAAAAATAAAGTTCATAGATTTCAGTCTTCGTTTTAATAAATTTTAAATAATATTTTATCTTGAAATTTTAGAAAATTTTCATTTAATGTTATTTAATACTGTTTATTATATTTTTATATATTTATCTATTTAACCTTGTATTATAAAAAAGAACGTTAAACATAAAAAATGTCTTTAATAAATAAATTGTCGGACTTTGTCCATTTCTTAATATTGTAATATTTAGATATTTAATGTACTTTACAAAAACGGTTTAAATTTATTTTGATTTAATAATTATTGTTGTTCAAAAGCTATTATATATATTTTTAACCAAAAACATAAAAAACAAGATTCATTCAGAGATTTTCAAGTTCTGGCTTGTTTTAGGATTTTCTGTTTAACCGTAGATGTTTTTTTTCATACTATGTTTTTAAGAATATTTAGAAAGTGTCTATATTTGTTTGCTTATATTAATAAAATAGGATATTGATTGTAAATCGATCCTAAAATGTCTTCTAGTGGATCCATTTTACAAATTTAATATCCATGGTGTTCTAGAAGAATTTGATGATATATATGAATATATAAAACTTTTTAAAATACCTGTTTGATAATGGAAATTGATCAGAGATTCTATAATTACATAACCTCATAAACCTGGGGTATATTAGAAATGTGTTTGGGTTGCATTTATTTCGTTATATTTTTCAGTATTCTATTGTGAAAAGTAAATTATCAGATTTCTAGAACAAAGTAACTAATTTTCCAAAAATATTTGACTTAATTTTATTCGTAGGAAAGTGTTTGTTGCCAAGAAAAATTTGTGTTCCCAATTTGACGGGAACTTAATTTCGGAGAATATACCAAATTGTTTTTCTTCTCTATTTTCTTTCAAAAATAACTATAATTTTCCATATTCCGAAATTAAATATATGATCTTGAAAAAAAATATTTAGAAAGTGATGTCGTATTGCATTTGCTTAAAAGAGGATATGTGATTGTAAGATAGATAGATAGATAGATAGATAGATAGATAGATAGATATTAGGGACTTTTCTTTAAAGTTTTATGCATTTTTCAAGCGGGTCGTTGGGATAAAGGTATTATATATCTTTACATCGAGATTGGGCATGATTTTTATTTTTTACATTAATTTTTCAACTATGTTGCTTTTTTTATATGATATAGATTCTTTGTTATCAACATATTCTTACATATTTGCTTAGAGAATGTGGAAATATTTTGGAAGACCAGATCTGATAGAGAATCTATCGGACAAAAAGCTATCCAATACCGAACAGTAATTCATCACGTTCAGTTTAAAATTCGCTGCCGGGATTTGCAAAGGAGATGCAGTTGGCATACTAGTTAAAAATCATAGAGAAAAAAGACAGAATTCTTCAAAGGCTTCATCCAATGAATGATCACAGCCACTATAAAGCAAATAATGAAAGAACTTTGTCAGAGAGACATTTATATGCACTAAGGAACCTAACAGTAATTAAGGAAATCTATATTATCTCCTTGGAATTGAGCTGGGATTGCCATCATGAATAATAAAACTCATACGATGGAAAAATTAGTTTATTAATCAACAATGCGTATATACATGTGAAAAAAAATACATGAGCAGGAAATAATTACTGAAACAGAAAAATTTAATAAGTCAATTAGAAAACTAAATAAAAACCAAAACAAATCATGGTATAGACTAATACAATGTATGTAAGTTACTAAAAAGTAGTTTGCAACACGTTTATTTATCATCTCTCAGTTGCGTCTGTCTCTTTGGGAAGAGGGGAGACTCCGTTAACACGTAACACGTAACACGTAACTGAGGAAAATTATACTGAGAGGTGCCCAGGCCTGGGAAACAGCTGCCCGAGGCCGCGCCCTCTCATTGCACCAGAGAGAGGGATCGGTGCTCGCGCCGACGCCAGGTGTACGCGCTCGGGTTCCCACCTTAAAAATGACCTTGAATTCGTCTTAGTGAGGAGACAGAGTAAATACCTACAATAATAGAATATCACCCAAGAATATCTAAACGTTACGCTTTCCTTAAATCCGCAAATCAAATAACAGAATTTTTCAACTGGAACGTTGGGGTAAAGGGATTTTATATCTAGACTGGCCATCATTTTGACAGTCATATTTGTCTCCCTTAGTTTTTCAGCGAGAGTGGTTGTATTTCATTTTATATATGATTGGTTGATTGTTGCAAGGAGAGAGGTTTCAATATTTATTATGTCTTTCGTCTGTTTGTTTATAACTGAAATAATGTGTCAAATTGGGATTCCTGATTTGTGGATTTAGGGAAAGCGTAACAAGCGTAACAAGAGCCAAAAACCTCAATATAAATATTATTTATTTGTTTAAATTGCGCAGATCAGTACAAAATTTCAGTGATTGCGCAGGTCAGTGTTGCCAACATTATGTGAACATTTTGTGTGAATTGATTGGACGGTTTTTGAAATATTAGAAAAAAGTTATCTCGATAATAATTTGGTACGCAGTATATATATATATATAATTTAAAGAATATTCGAGGTTAAATATATGATGAAATAAAGAACAAAGGAAACGAACCTCGATCTGACATGATCACTTTTATTAAAGTTTCGTCAGAGATCGAGAATAGAAATGAAAAATCAAAGAGACAGAGTACTGGTATATTATGACTTTTGGTTGTTCTCATTGGTCAGACACGCGTCACGTGTATAAACGTAATAGATAATATACGAATATGTGTGTAAGTAAAGAAACATTTGTGTGTAATTGCATGTAGGACGGTAAAATTAATTCTTGTAAGTGTATATGTTAAGCAAAGCCTACAGATATCACCCTCGTATTTGGGCTGTGAAATTTAGTGTACTATTGGCATTCCTGCCTTCTATTCGTTTATATATATATATATATATATATATATATATATATATATATATATATAGAGGAATAGATATATTGTTATAGTAATTCATCGAGGGCAGAAGAATCCTCAACAGAATGAAGAAATCAGTGGACCGCCGTTTCGTCCTATTTTGGGACTCAGCAGTGCGCATCCACTACCGAAATTTGAATCCAAATTGTTTCGATAAAAAGAAAGCGATATACCAACTGTACCGACGGACCTCGGCAACGTAGAAGAGACTGAGTAGACTCGATATAGCGCCGCTACTAACAAATTCCGTATTGATATTCATCCAAGTATTCATAAGCCAAAAGATTGTGCCCCAAGAGCCACAGCTTTCCTTTTTATCGCAGAGTATTAGCTGGGGCCAGCAAGGATATACGAGTAATAGGATTTTGTGGATTTGGGCAAATCATTATAGCAATTCATAAGCCTCCAGTGCTTTCTGCATTCTGTTGAGGATTCTTCTAGACTTGATGAATTACTATAATTATCCAATATATATATATATATATATATATATATATATATATATATATATATATATATATATATAGTGTACCTTATCACCGCCCCCCCAAAAAATTCTGTTTCTGAATATTTTTTGTGGGTCAGATGTCGTAAGGTGGGGGAATAGAAAAATGATTAAGTCTGAACTTAGTATAAATCCGATTACCCACTGTTAAGTTCACACGCGATTATCGAGGAATTACATTATATTAGTTACCAAAAACTCGAATTAAGGTAGACTCATACGATGCATATATATATATATATATATATATATATATATATATATATATATATATATATATATATAGAGAGAGAGAGAGAGAGAGAGAGAGAGAGAGAGAGAACGGTGGAGCAGTGGATAGCGGCTTGGATTGAGGAATCGCAGAGCCGAGTTCGAATTCCAGTCGGATCCATTACATTCACTTACGTGCTAATACCCTTGGGAAAGGTATGTATCCTCTTCATCTCCCTCCAGCTATGGCTAAAATAGCAGGACAGACTGGGTTCTATAGCCTTGGATGGCAACTGGTCTAGGAGAAGGACAACTCTGAATTCAAAACCTGCGGAGGGTCGTTTGGGAACCTTGTGGCATGCATTCGGTTCACCAGGTTTCTGTATTCGTCCCTCCAAAAAGTGTGGCTGGTCCTGCACGAGGCCTTCACCACTATAATCAAATCTCATGTGCCGGTGTCGGGATGTCGGTTTCCTGGGGACTTATCGGCCTGACCCTCATACGTCGAACGTCGATTATATATATATGCAAGCATATATATATATTCTTGCAGAGGTGTTGAGGTCTCATACTTATACACTCACTCATACCAAGATATAGACTTACATACATCATACACACTCCCAAAGAATTAAAAGACGACATACACTTAACACACATACACACCCTCCCAGCAACCCCAAAAACTGTCTAAATTACCAAGAAGCGAATTCTGCGACTCATGAATCTCCCCAGGCTCTTTTTAAAAACAACTTGGAAGAGGTCATTTGACCAACACAAGGTCCGACCAAAAAGTAACGATAACTAAACAAATGTAAACTACAGATAATGTTCATAAACAGTCACTCACTCCTTTTACTAACAAACAAACATTATTTGTTTCCTAACATTTTTTATTCTGGTGATGGCCATGCTGACTGTAACTAGTCCAGGAATCTAATTGGAATAATAAAATAAAAAAATATTAATATGCAACGCAAGGTTTCTGAAAATTTTAATTTGTTAATATTTTTATAGTTTAGAGTTTTTTTTTATTTTTGTAATATTTTTATAGTTTTATTTTTATAATTACAATATCTATCTATCTATCTATCTATCTATCTATATATATATATATATATATATATATATATATATATATATATATATATATTTCTGAGATGAGATATTATGTTCAGTTTGACATTCCAACCATCTGAAAAAAGGCCGGAGCTTACAAACATAATAAGTATGGCGACAAAGATGAGGACAATAGTCCGAATAATATATATATATATATATATATATATATATATATATATATATATTATATAAATTATTTATTCGAAAATTGTTTACCAAAATATGTTATCAAAACTGACAAAAAATAGATTTATTTTATTTCAACACCTTTTCTTTTTTCTAATCAATGACATTATACTTGATAAGAAACCAGAGGTGTTGAAACAAAATGGCTATTTATATATTGATTTTTTATAACATATCTACGTTATAATTTTCGAATAAGTAATTATATTTATTTCTACTCTGTAATGAGAATTTTTTTTTAAGAATAGTAATTGTTGGTTATTGGAATTTAGTCACTAACATATATATAACATATATATAATATATATATATTATATATATATATATATATATATATATCATATGTAGTCTTGTTTATTTCGTATTTGTGGTAACTGGTGTGACTCTAATGTTGCACTAGCGTATAAAAGCCAAGAAAAAGAATAGAAAATAGGAAAATTCTTTTTTTTTTCTATTTGAAGTTGGCATTTTCAAGATTTTAAAAGGGGATTGATCATCCTGGCATCTCATTGAAGTCCACCCCACTACCACTATTTGTTTGGATCCCCCACCCACTCATTCCCATCACACTAATTCATCCGTCACATGGCATTTGGTTCCGAAAATCTAGATGTTTTTAGAGTCTGCCACGCTTTTCACTATACATAAATAGTTGAACTCAATCAGAGCCCACATAGCCTAAAAATTGCGTTTAAGCATGAAACAGACTGTCGCTGGGTGCTTACAATTATTTTGCCGTGTGCAAGGCTTGAATGCTACTGGTACGCAGGAGGTTACAGTGAGTGAAAACGAGAGAAAAAATCTCAGTATAGGCAGAATTGAGGAAAGGTCAAAATATGAAATGGTTTCAAGAAGATAGAAGATGGCGATTAACGTTGCATTTAAATTTTTAAAGATTGCATTTATCAGGGAAGTAAGTAAACGAAAGAGAATCCCACAGGTGAGGAGTGCGAGAAAAGAAACTTACGCTTAGAAATGTCGGTTGCTTTTAGCTCTTTCAACAGTAAACGGGTGCGATCTAGATGCCATACTTATACTACACTTAAATTCATGCAGTCCTGTGTTGTGGTGTCTTCCCTCTAATGAGACTATTGTGTACTCTTCCACTTAATATAAAGTAGTAGGAAAGAAGCCTCAGTGGGGAACGGTGATATAAACTGTTCAACTGTCAAACTCTTCACCTCGACGGAGAGGAACCAGGGCTAGCTTTGCCGAAGGGCAGAGATTCGTCCCTGGAGGTAGACAGGAGCTGAGCCCGTTTATACGGGTTCAAGGGGAATATTTCTGGCCAAGCCTACGGGCTCGGAGAACCCACGATAAACTTGGCCTTGAGCCACATACGAGCCACGTGGGAGCGCCGTAAAATATAACGGTGATATAAACTGTTCAACTGTCAAACTCTCCGCCTCGGCGGATTGAACCCGGACGACGCTTTGCCGAATGTCAAAGTTTCGTCCGGGAAGGTAGACAGGCCCTTAAGCCGTATATACGTGTTCGAAGGGAATATTTTTGGACGAGCCTACGGGCTTGGAGAACCTGCAATAAACCGACCTTGTGCCACATACGTCCCACGTGGTGGGGCCTTTAAATATAATGATGATATAAATTGCTCAACTGTCAAACTCTCTGCTTTGAGCAGAGAGGAACACGGACAAGGTCTTACCGAAGGGCAAAATTTCGTCCGGGGAGGGAGACAGGTCATGAACCCTTTTATACGGGTTCGAGGGGAATATTTTTGTCTGAGCCTACAGCGCTCGAAAAACTGGCAATAAATAGGCCTTCTGCCACATTCGACTCACGTGGCGGGGGGGGGGCTGGAGCGTTAAATATAACAGTGATATAGACTGATCTACTGAATCTGTTCGCAGCTCCTATCGAAATCTTTGCTTTTGGCAGAGAGGAACCCGGGCGAGGCTGTGCTGAAGGGCAGAGTTTCTTCCGGGGAGGTAGACAGATCCGAACCTGTTTATGTGGGTTCTACCGTGATTTTGGGGCCCACGTTAAAGTCGGCCTTGTGCCACATATATCGCTCGTGAAGGGTGGGGACTGTTAAATATTAGCAGTGATATAGATTGACCGTTGGTCAACCGACACATTTTCTCCCAAGTAAAATGTAACACAATTCTGTTGTATTTACTGTTCAATACAAGATTTATTTGCAACCTTTTTTAAATATTTCTTAACCAAAATACTTATATCATCATCCTGACACCAGGAAAAGACATCTCTTTTTGGAATATCTCTCTCTATATATATATATATATATTTAATCTCTCTTTCTTTCTTCTAAATATATATATATATATATATATATATATATATATATATAGAGAGAGAGAGAGATATATGAATAAAATTTGTCCCTTAGCTGACTGAATGTTACCTTCAGCATCCTGATTCCAGAGTTTCTTGGTTGGACCTCTCCGTCAACTCTTCAGGAGATATCAGCATTGTACTGCTTTTCAGTTTTTTTTTTTTTTTTCTTTATAATTACTGTTCTTTAATTAATCCTATTAATGCTCTATTTTTGATATTGAGCACTTTACTCAAAAAGATTCTTGCCTTAAACAACTTTTAAACAACTTTTTCTTATAATATATATATATATATATATATATATATATATATATATATATATATATATCGGGTGTAGTGAAGACGTCGCCTGTTCGGTGTCTAAGATAGTAGAGTATATCCCATTTTGGCTTTTGATCAGTTTCTGTAAGAAATAGAGAAAAAGCGAAAATCGAATCACAGCAGCCAGTCTTAACGTTCGTTGCCTGGAAGCCAGTAACATTTTTAATCCGAGAAACCTTTTCTCTTCGCCAGACGGTTCCATGCGATTAGTCATTGGTAGTTTATAGCCCAATGCACATCCTTCTACTTATTCAAGATTTAGCATTGAACTTTCGCAACTAACTCAAGTCTAACGCACCAGTTTCCTACAAATTTTCTCCTTTACTTCTTTTCCTTTCCAACAAGCAGCAGAAGAAATTAAAAAAAAAAAAAAAGAAAAAAAAAGAAGCCTCGTTCCCAAATACAGCCAGCAAAGAGTCGATTACAACCCGCACATGCGTAATGGTAACTTATGACGAGGTTAATTTACTTTGCGAGGAAATGCCGGATATTTTATGCGAGTAACGTCGACAAAGCGGAAAAGCCATTGTTCAGGTTGTTGGGATTTCACGCCTGTTTGAGCCGAGAAAGCAATGTTTATGTTCCAGTCGATGTCAACTACTGACTCAACGTCATAAAAATAAGCCCGCTGATGTGATTTACGCCACCAGGTGTCGCCTCTAAAAATGTGTCTATCAAATTTGGTGACGGTTACAGGACAGACATCACCGGAAATGGACTCAGTTTATTTTTCTTTTTAAAGGAAGCAGACCACAGCTGTGTACAATGGCACCACGGATTCTTCATCTGTTTTCTTTTGATTTTCTTACAGAGCGCCGGAAAGTCGGAATAGATTAGGTCTGTGTAAAACAAGAAGATAACAAAATGTAATGATGTCGGGATTATAATGGTATATTTTGATTGCTAACTATAGATTTCCAAGACATGTCTTCCCTCTTCGAAATGTTAATCCCAAATGATTTCAGATTGAATATGGCTGCTTAAATAATGTGGTCAGTGACTGATTTTATAAATAAGATATGAAACTAATTGTCTAACAAAAAATCAAGAAATCTTATATTTCTGCTTGTGCCTGGTTTCGTTAATTCCTTAGAACGCACAGCCGCTACTCCCTGCCAATACCGCTGAAATTATATATCAGAAATGATACTTGTGAGAAAATGAAAGAAAGAAAGGAAGGAAGGAAGACAAGGAGGAAGATATGAAGATAACAAGAAAGGAAGAAAGGGCGAATAAAAAAAGAAACGAAGGAAGAAAGGAATAAATGAAGAAAGACAGGGAGGAAGAAACGAAGAAAAAAGTAAGGAAGAAAGAAGGAATAAAAAAGAAAGAAAGAAGGAATAAAGAAAGAAAAAATGAATGAAGAAAAAAACGAACGAACGAACGAAGGTAGAGATGAAGGAAAGAAGGAATTACGAAAGAAAGGAAAAAAACTAAGGAAGAAAAAAAGGGAGAAAGAAAGAATGAAAAGAAGAAAGAAACGAAGAAAGAAAGGAAAAAACTAAGGAAGAAAGAAAGGAAGAAAAATAAAGGGAGAAAGAAAGAAAGAAAGAAACGAAACGAAACGAAAAAAGAAAGAAAGAAAGAAAGAAAGAAAGAAAGAAAGAAAGAAGGGAAAATGGAAGTGTTTAACGTCTGTTTCGGTAAAAGTTGGAAATTACAATTTTTTTTTTACTTTTGTACCCCCTTACTTCTTAAAATAACAACCAGTATTCATATTTATGATTGTTATTACAATATTTTGTTAAAATTATTAAGCTGAAGTATTTAACGATGTGATAGGAGAATTTCTCCGGATATTTTATTGTCGTAGAACTCAATATGACCTTATTTAATCACAAACTGAAGAATTAAGATTCAAAATATTTAAATAGGAAAACCCTGACATTTTCACGGGTCTTTCTTGTCAGATTATAATACTACATGTCTCATGTCTATTTAGTTAGCACGTACATTAATGGCCTGCTATTGCCCCAGAAAAACAATGAACAATTCCCGTTTGAATTCAAATATAGACCTGTCATAGCTGTCCCTAGTCAGAAAAAAACGGAAGAAAATATATATCAAAAGCGTTATTTGTGGTGAGTTAAACGAAGAGGAAATAGAAGGATGATGGTGCAGGGGAGAACACATTAATATTTTTAACGCCTGCATCAGTGAAATGGAAAAACTTAATTTTGAATATTTTCATTTGTACCCTCTTTCTTTAAATTATGACCCTCATTCATATTTACGTTTGTTAAAGCAATATTTTGTTAATCTCAAATATTTCATGAGGCAATAGTGGAATTTTCAAGGGTATTATATAGTCATGGAACTCAAAAGTAATGCGATAATGCAACTAAAAACTCCAAGGGCTTCTGGGAATGAAAGAGATTGTAAAAGAATTTAGAAGGAACCGGGGATCCAGTCCTAAACCGGAAACAACAAATACGCCTCTACCGGGTAAAACGGCAAAATTGTCAAAATCGCGTAAAAGCAAAATTGTTCGTTTGTTAGATGAAGCTTTGAACCGTTCTAACTTAGAAATGATTAAAGATATCTTACTGGAATTCCCCGAGGTTTTTATAACACTTTTAGACTCTACTTTTAGAAATTAGAATGTATAATTACTCTCCAAGCTTTATAGAAAAATCGTGATGACATCGATCATAAACAAAAAATGATTTTCAAATCTTTTTCCACTGCTCTTTGAACTGTCATGGATGAAACTCCTCTCTCACGTTCCAAACGGCTTATTCATCTCTTTAGGTTATAAGTTGAAATGATGATCCCTCTTCCTGTTGTGACCTCCTGACCCAGTTTTCCTCTCTTCTATTCCCTCTTTTTTTTAAAACTTATTCACCGTTCTCTTGGTGGTTCATGAACAGACTTTGAAGATGGAAGCCAGAGTATGAATGCCGGTACCATTACTGAAGGCCAGCATTGTTCAGTTGGGAAGACATAGTGAGGCTGACAGAAAAGGATTTTAACCTGTTCTCTTTTTAGCTGAACAACTCAAAGGGTTTTTTCAGTGATTTTTATGACAAATGTTATCAAGACGGCTAAACGTCTTATCTGAAAACCTGGAAAAAAAGAAACTAAATTAGTTTAGTATTTTTTTTTTTTTTTAGATATGAAACATTTTGTGGGATGGACAATTATGCAATTACACGATTTGGACAATTATGCTGTTACACGATTAGGACAATTTTGCAGTTACACGATTTGTACAATTATGCTGTTACACGATTTGGACAATTTTGCAGTTACACGATTTGGACAATTTTGCAGTAACACGATTTGGACAATTAGGCTGTTACACGATTTGGACAATTTTGCAGTTACACGATTTGGACAATTTTGCACTAACACGATTTGGACAATTAGGCTGTTACACGAT